CGATATTAGCATTCACTGATTATAAAACATCAGAAAAACCAATAATAAAATAAAAATAATTTAAAAAAAGGAAAGTGTGAGGTTAGAATTAAACGTCATTTATATTATTTTACATTGTTGTTGACACGTTGTCTACATTGTCTACACGTAAAGTAGACAATGAAAGTCTACGTGTAGACGCACATCCCTGCTGACGACGTGGTTGATGATGTCGTCAATGGTGCTATGGCCGCGATTCCCAGAAACGAGGCCGATAAGCAGGCCTGTGTAGTAGTGTGTTTTATCCTTGATCTTTGCCTATTTTGTAGAGGTGTACACTCTTCTATAAAAGTTAATTTTGTTTGATATTTTTGTCAGTAGATGTATTTATCAGTTTTATTTTTTTTTTAAGTCGAGAATAACATTTCGATTGGTCAAAATTATTAAATGATAGGAAGATAGGAAGAAATAGTCCAGGATATTACACACTACACATGATAGTGTAGTACTGTAGTGTGTAATATAATAGTGATCCTCCTAAGGCCTGTGCAGATAAATCACAAGCCACCCACCACGCACAAGGTTCACCACGCCAAAGTACTAGTGATGACGTAGCAGCATTTCTCGCCTTGACCTAGACGTAAGATGTTTGCATACTTGGTTTTAGCTTGCGTTCGGTATTTCACTCAAAGAGCCCGAACGTACGGATTGTAGTACATTATTCACATTGGTTGGTTTTAACTCTAGGGTAAGCGTGTCCGAGCCGCTTTCCAGTATGGGAGTGTGACGCCCGGAGCTACTCGGGGCGTTGAGTTCCCGAGCTGTACGTACGCGTCAACCTATCAGCTGTCACATCCGTGGGTGGCTATTTATCTATTTATCTCTTGTTATATCTCAAGATTGAACATTTTAAAATATTTAGTTTTGATTCTCTTTCATTTTTGATAAATAAAAAAACAAACTACACAAACAAACAAACAGAAAATTATTTTTAAAATTTGACATATTTGACACTAAGACAGGCGTCTCACGCCATGATACTGGAACGGTACAAATCTAGTGCGTGGCGCCCCCGAGGTGCTCTGGAGCGCGCCAATGTGCATACTGGAAAGCGGCTTAGTTGTATTCCTTTCAAGAGTTTGAAACACTCGAGCTACTCGTTCCGGTGTTTAGTCGCCCCCGATTTGCATGGAACAGATATGCGTGGTGCAACGTGCAACAAACACTTTTCGAAAGGAATAAGCGCGTGAAGCCCCGGATCTGTTCCGGAGCTCCTCCTAGGTATGAAAGGAATACAACTATTTACACTTTTGACCGAGACAGTTGGCATTTACTGTATTCCTTTGTCAATTTGTCGAAGCAATGTCAGAAAATTGCGAATTTCGCAGTTATGCGTACTAGGCTTTAAGCCTAGTACTCATAACTGCGAAATTCGCACTTTTTTGACATTGCTTTGACAATTTGACGTTTAATGCGTATCAAACGTCAAATTGTCGAAGCAAAGTCAAAAAAATGCGAATTTCGCAGTTATGAGTACTAGGCTTTAGGGAGGATTTTCATGCATCCGTTTTTCCGACGAAATATGTCCGTTTAACATTCTATTTTGACATATTTATATACGATTATGTCAGAATAGAATGTTAAACGGACATATTTCGACGGAAAAACGGATGCATGAAAATCCTCCCTTAAGCCTAGTACTCATAACTGCGAAATTCGCATTTTTCTGACATTGCTTCGACAATTTGACGTTTGATACACGCATAAAACGTATATAAATATGTCAAAATAGAATGTTAAACGCAAGAATCGTAAACTCTACAGGATTGCTCAATCCCATAAGGCAAACGTTCATAAAAACATCGAAGATGGCGGTATGCGAATGACGTCACACAGTCCTTGATCGGTTTGTGTTTTATTATGACAGTGCACTTTCCTTGCATTTTCAAACGTGAAAAATTGTTATTTTGAGGTTATTTGCTTTGAAAACTGTATTTTGTAATTAATTTATTAATTTTAAAATTAGCAGACTTCAAAAGTTTGTGTCTTTGAGGTTTGAGTGGTTGGCTAATTAGAAAGACGAGTTTGTTTGCTTTTGTTTATCAACTAGCCAAACATATTGCCAAAAAGTCAAAAAAACAAAGGGCTGGAGTCAAGCTGGCCCCCGGATTTGTTTCAATGTTTTTTTTGTGTATGGAAATAAGCACAATTCGCATAAATACTGGCACAATTGAGCACAAAACGGGCACAATTGACTACAGTAAACTATAGTTGAGAAACAATAGAAAACCAAATGTGGGTGCCAACTTGAGCGAGCCGGTTTAATTTTTGCATATCGATATCAAAATATAAGCGAAACGTGGTTGCAATAGTAGAGAGTTATTGGACGTGCAATAAGGACAAGCAGTATTTAAATTAGCCTTATTTTGACATCTACGCATGCGCATTTGCGTACGAAAATAAGGATTCCCTTAATAAGGTTACTGCTTGTCTTTATTTGTGTATGGTTAGTGCAAGGCAGTAAACTTCCCTTATTTAAAATTTCTGACATTTTGGACGACTTTGACGTTTTGTTTTTCGACGATGATGTAATTTTACTTGGAAAATTTATTTTTTAGAATAGTTTTCCATTTTACTGTGGGTAACATTAAAAAATGGGTATCAGCAGAAAATCACAAACAAAAATAAACACTTTTTGAGTCTGAACATTATAAACATAGCTATCAGCTGTCAAAATTATGAATACAAAATAAGATAATACTCTATATAGCACCTACTACAGTCTTCCAATAACTGTTTTTTTCTTGGAAAAATAGTGCTGATGCACTAATAAAATAACGTAGATCCTTAATACTGCCAGGCAGTATTTAATAGTTCCAATAAATCTCTAGCTCCTGGAAATTTTTTACTGCCCCTACCTACTTCTCAATTATTATTCAATAGTTTAATAGGTACTAGAACGATTTAATATGGACATTCAAAGTAAGCTTATTTCACAAAGCCAAATAGTGATACCTAATTTAGATTTTCATAATCATATTCCAGAAAAACACTGCAAGTTTCCCATATTTTCCATGCGTTTTCATAGTAACCGCGCCAGTAATAGTATATTGTTGTATTAGGAGTAGAAGCTTTACTTTTTTGTGCTGAAGCGGTAGGTTTGCGGGCCGAACGTAGTGAGGCTTGCAATACTGCTGAAGCACAAAAAAGTGCTTCTACTCCGTATGCAACACGCTATTTTTTCTCGAAACGAATGGGGTAAGCTCGGGGGCAAGTGAATGGTTGAGCGGCAGTAAAAGTACTTTTAAGTACTTCTACTGCCGCTCCAGCGACATTAAAAGTACTTTTGCTGCCGCTGGGGTTGCCAAGCAGCATAGAAATCGAATTTTTACCAGGGGGGGCGACGGCCCCCCCCCGCCCCCACACGTATGGCGCCCCTACCGCTCTTGAAAAACAAAAGCAAAAAACAAGAAATAAAATTATGCTGTTTCTTATTTATTTTATTGACCTCTTCACTCTTTAATCTTTATCGTAAGTCGGCATTGTCGGCAAATGGTTCAGTTCGATCAAAGGAAAGGTGATAGTTTCTGTTTTGATGTTTGATGTGGTATTTGTTTATTGGGTTGGGTGGGGCTATCATCCGTCCGGATTTTCCCGGAAGTGTTCTAGTTTTCAAGGCGTCCCCAGAGATGTTGTAATAAGGCTTAAAATACTTAAATGTTTTTCGGCCTGCTACACGAAAAAAAAAAGTTTTTGAAGGCTTCAATAAACTTTTTTGGGCGTGGCATTCGAGAAAATTTTTCGCCTCCGGCGGCGCCCTGTGCGGGAGTTTCGTCTTTGATATCTTCCCCCAATAAGCAAATATTACGAAAGCATACAATTACAAACATTTACATGCAAAGGAAACTTACAGCTAAGTAGTTATTTGATTTACGAAAAAAAGCAATACGAATACTTGACTAGAAAATACTAACAGTAGAAAACTAAGCAATACACGCACGAATAAAAGGAAGCTATGTCCTGATACAACAAATCCAGTATTATAAATAACCACTAAAACCAGAAAATGCTTGGTGTTTTCGCGAGTATTTTCAGCCACGAGTCTTTTATGCTTACACACATTAAATGAAACTTTAAATTACACTTATAACACTTGATAAATCCGAATTTACGATAAAATAATTGTCAGCACAAACTGAACATCATTCGTATCAGCGGCCATCTTGAAAATCAGGGATGCACGTGACATCACAGCAATTGTGAACAAATTTAGCCGATTGAGCAATCCTGTAGAGTTTACGATTCTTGGTTAAACGGACATATTTCGACGGAAAAACGGATGCATGAAAATCCTCCCTTAAGCCTAGTACTCATAACTGCGAAATTCGCATTTTTTTGACATTGCGTTGACAATTTGACGTTTTATGCGTGTATCAAACGTCAAATTGTCGAAGCAACGTCAAAAAAATGCGAATTTCGCAGTTATGAGTACTAGGCTTCACCCGTTGAGTTACTCGGAGCTGCTCAATGTCAAAAGCTTGAACGTTCCTTTTAAAAGTGCGTTAAGCACTCGAGTCGCTCATAGTGCATCCCCCTTTCCCCTGATGCACCTAATTTGCGGGGGGTGCAAGAAACCCCTTTAGGTAATAACGGTAATGTTAATATTAAAAAATAATGATAAAATCTGATTTGTGTGTTTTGGAGTGACTTCGAGGAGCTCGTTCGTTGTAACTCGATGTATAAAAGGAATACAGTAATTGTTGGCAATAGCAATAGCAATAGTTGTATTCCTTTCAAGAGTTTGCAACACTCGAGCTACTCGCTCCGGTGTTTAGTAGCCCCTGATTTGCAGGGAACAGAAGCGTGGTACGACAAACACTTTTCAAAAGGAATAAGCGCGTGAAGCCCCGGAGCTGTTCCGGAGCTCCTCCTAGGTGTGAAAGGAATACAACTAATGCACAGCTGTTTTATTTGATTATTTGGCGGTTTTTTTTGGTTTTTATTTCAATTTGACATTCTCCTTTTAGGGCCAAATTATGGACTGACTGGTAAACGTCTGGTTGTTACCTAGCAGGTACTTTCTATGCACTAGAGAATAGAAAGTACCTGCTAGGTAACAATCAGACACTTACCAGTTGGTCCATAATTTGGCCCTTAGTCCTTTATCTTTAAGTGAAGCAGAAAACCAAGACGAAAAGGGGTCTACATTCACAGTATCTATATTCTTCTATTTGAATATAATTACATATTTTAGTTTAAATTCCCAATTAAAGTTAAACTTGTTTCTGTAGAAAAGTGTTCAGTGAAGGCCTACTTCGGCTACTTCTAGGGCTCATCAATATCCTGTTACAATGGACTCGTTTTTAAAGAGAAAAAACACTGATCAAGGTACCTACACCTACAATACATATACAATTTCATATAAATAAATATTTTCTATATTTGCTCTATACACCAGATTTGGTTACCCCAGATTTAAGTGATGTTTGTAGTACTACATCATTAGAGCCAAATTAAGGACTAACTGGTAAACGTCTGGTTGTACCTAGCAGGTACTTTCTAGGCACTAGAGAATAGAAGGTACCTGCTAGGTAATAACCAGACACTTACCAGTTGGTCCATAATTTGGCCCTTAATCAATCAAAATCTCTGCCTAAAATTTTCCAGATGGCACTTGTAGTTTGAAAGTAAAAGGGTTTGTAACGTGTGCTGGTCGCAGTATGTGCTTGCAGTTGTAATTGATAATAATTGAGTTCTAAATCCTAAATACATTTCGTAATAGGCCATGAGAAAACCAAGTTTTATGGTGAGGAGAAAGTAAATGATGGTCAGCGATATGGTGGTTGATTGTTAATCTAGTAATGTAATCACAATCCCAGAATGCTTCCCCAAAGGTCTGCAATAATGCCATCATGTAGCTCTTAAGAGAGATGGCTAACAATTCATCAAAAATTGATAACCTTTGCTAATTTACACAGATTACACAAACAGTCAAAATTGCTTTCATTAAGAATTACTTTAAGGGAGGTATTTCTAGATTCAAATTAGCATTAGTAGTTAACCTGGCGTACTGGATCCTCTTGATGTCTGAAGCAAAGCATCCTGCCTGTTGTTTGCTGTGGAGGCTTTTTAGAAAATTTTCTTGCAAACGCAGTCTTTATAAATATCCTGATATTTGATGTAGTTCAGAATATCTTTGGCTTATACCTACCTTGGGAGGTGCAAAATGTATTGTTGCTGCTCACTTTACTAAGTTACTATCTTTCTATCTAGGTTACTATTAAATAAATCATTTAATTTTTTATACTATCCATTATAGCAGATGCTGAGGCAAAGAAGCCTAAACGTGAGGAATGTCCACACAAGGAGCGGTGTTATAGGAAAAATCCCCACCATTTTAAGGAGTTTGAACATCCTTTTTGTAAGAAAGCATAATTTTCCTCAAAACTTCTTCCTATTTATGCAAAATTTCAGTAATTCAACTAATTGAAAAGGGTGATACTCCAGAAATCCCAGACAACATGCCTCAACCCAAACAACTTTATTTGGAACAAATAGAAATCCTAAAACCAATACTGGCAGCTCAAAAACCCAAAGAGACTGAAAAGAAACGTGTCGAAACAGTCAAAAATAATATGGAAAGTGTTGCAAGTTCTAGTTCTAGCTGTGGAAAAGTTTCTAAAAAAGGCAAAACCACAATTTTTACATCAACAAGTGAAGAAGCTACATGCAGCCCTGGTTCGATGTTGGAAAAATTGAAGAAAAACGCTCCATATAATTTGTTTTTCACAACGATTCCCAAGAGTCAAAGTACATTCAAGGAAGTTAACAGTGTTTCATTTACAGGCAAGAAAATAAACTTATTCTAATTAGTCAATTTTAAATTAAAAAATCCAAAATTTTAGATCTTCTTTGTCCAAGTTTAGGCCCCTTAAAATGTTCTTTGCAAATTAATTTTATGATTGATATTGATTGGCTACTAAAACAGTATAAAGCCAGAGACTTACAGTAAGAGTTATGCTCGTAGACAGTATTTTTATTGTAATGAAAAATCTATTTTTAGTCAGAAACCTTTGACTATTCTTTATGGTGATGATTGGCCAGATATGATAGAATTTATGAACAGATTTTGTCCAAATATAAAACATCATTTTGTTAAAATGAAAGATCCTTTTGGTTGTCATCATTCGTAAGACACATGTTTAATTCCTTAGGAAAACCACTAATTATTTTTTTTCAGTAAAGTAGGAATTTATGTTTACGAGGATGAATCCATAAGATTGGTCGTTTCTACAGCTAATTTGTATTATGAAGATTGGAATAATTATAATCAAGGGTAATTGTTTTTGAAAATATTCATCATATATATATATATATATATATATATTTCAATTTAATAATTTTTAGATTATGGTTGAGTCCAAGATTACCAAAATTGCCCCAAGGAAGTAATGCTAAAGATGGTGAATCCATAACTGGTTTCAAATCAGATTTAATTGCTTATTTAGAAACTTACAAACTCAGTATTCTAAAGGAGTGGCTTGATTATGTGAAAAATGCCGACTTTAGTCAGGTAAGGGTTGCTCTAGTTTATTCAGCTCCTGGAAAATATTATCCGAAAAAAAATGGAAATCACTTGCACAGAGTTGGGGACCTATTGAGTAAATATTGTAGTCTTCCAGCGAAAACTACACCTCAAAGTGAAGGTCCATTGTCTTGGGGTATTTTAGCACAAGCCTCAAGCATAGGTAAATGATAGTTTGCTTTTGATTCAGTTTTTTTAGTGAAATTTTTAAGGTTCTATGGGTAAAACACCAGCAGATTGGTTGCGAGGTTCTCTTCTAAGATCTTTAGCTAGTCACAAACAGAGTTCTCCATCAAGTAACTCGGCTGCTACTTTGAACATAGTATATCCGAGTGTGGATAATGTAGCTCATGGATATTTTGGTCTTCAAAGTGGTGGTTGTTTGCCGTATTCGAAAGCCACTAATGAGAAGCAACGGTGGTTACAAGATTATATGCAGTGAGTGCTTAAATGCTTGTAGACTTAAGAAAAATTATAAAAGTTTACATTTTAATTTTAGTCAATGGAAAGCTGATGAAAAACACCGTACAAGAGCAATGCCTCATATAAAATCCTATTGTCGCATTTCTCCGAATCTAAATAAATTAGCCTATTTTCTTTTAACTAGCGCAAATTTGTCAAAATCGGCTTGGGGCAATCCCATACAAAAAGATGGGGGAAGCTCTATAAGATCCTATGAGATGGGAGTTATGTTTTTACCAAATTTTTTCGATGAAGAATACTTTAAGATTAATAATAGTACTGATAACAAAAACAGCCATCTGTTTCCTTTTATGTATGATTTACCATTGACTCCTTATAAAAAAGATGATTATCCATGGTGTAATTGATTGTGATTTAAGATTCTTTTTATAATTGCCTTATTGGAATATATTTTTCTTTCATATACATAGTTGTAGTAATTACCCTTTTTTGCGCAACCTGCTCAATAACGCGACTTTTTGAAACAAGTGAAGCGGGCAGAACGTTAACAATTCCAGCCCGCTGACTGTCACGCATGCGTATTTCGCAGCCGGGCAAACAAGAACATTTATTTCCTACTTAATTATTATAGATCCATAATACCTAGGAAACGAAATTCGTTATTATACCTATAACAACCTGAGGACATTATAAGCCCGGCGGGTGGTATGATCTATAACGCCCGCTTATGCAGGCATTATGATCCATCAACCGAAAATAATTTTATGATCTGACCATGATTCGAGCCCGGTCTACCAGCAACGTTCCCAAGCGCGTTAACACATACGACCACCGTAGCCTTGCCTTATGAGTTGTTTATACGTATATTAATTTATTTCGTTTTTAGGTACAGGTACAGGGTTTTTTTTCTCCGCCAAACTCACTGAGGGAAGAAGAAGTTCAGTCGTTATCAACTAAATATTATACAACGAAATGTCGAAGCATTGGGAGACCAACTCTGAGATATACATTGAGCTACAAGTTCAGGGCCGTACTAAAACAATAAAAAATCCCTATGAAGAAATTGAGCTCAAATATGAAGATGTTCTGGAAACAGTGGAATCCAAAATCCGAGGACAGGATATCCCGACTCAAGCACAAAAATAAATTATGCAATATCAGTCTTCCTCAAAAAAGTTACCGTTTTTCGATGGTCGAAGAATGGGTAACTTTTCGAGACATTTTCAGGAAGGCGGTCTATGAAAACGAAAATCTGACGCGGATTCAGAAGATGCAGTAACTCAATAATAGTCAGAATCTTGGATATTCCTGCGATTCAGCAAGAATCAGCATCAAAAATAAAACAAGTGCATGACACTGTAATGACCCGCGAAAATAGACTCTTACTGGAAAAATTAAATGTAATCAAATAATCAAAAACTGAATTTCCGGTATTTCAAATCAGTATCGATAAATTGAAAATGAAACAAATTAGCGTTGACCCCAAACTCAAATTAATTAAATTATTTATATACGTTAAAATTTTATTATTTAGTCATCAAGCGTGATGTCATCTCCTAAATCAAATCAATGAACTTATTAAAAGCGAGGCCAAAGTAATTAAATAGGTGATTTATGACCACAAGCGTGTCGGTATTATTTGAGTTATATGTCCAATTCTTACAACCAAATCTGTTGACCCCGATAAACCAGGAAATTGCGACATAATTATTCGATTTTAGACAAATAACAGAGGAAGGTTATTGAATGATGAAATTTAGAATTTTTGGGGGAACTAAACATATAAATACAGCGGATTTAGAAGTGGAGAGGCAGTCATCAGTTGAGTTGAGTTTAGGTTCAGTCCAGTTTGAGTTAAAGTCTACAGTACCATACCCCGCGATCTTCAAAATGTACCACTTGGTTCGATGAAAAACTTGTTTCATGCCCGGTAGAGGCGCTATCAATTGATTTGCGTACGCGTTGTTGATTGTATCTCCAAGGTATCTCCGCTTCAGAAGAAGGGTGACGTGATTACTAATTAAATTATGACATGAACCGACATAAATTCATGAAATGACAAATGATGTCAAAACGATGAACTGGAAAACGTTATGCTTCTTATTGTTGCTTTAATATTTCTGTTCGTTGAAAAAGTGTTTCGTAGTGATAGAGCGTTATCTGTGTGTATTTGTGGACTTTCACAGTGTTATGTTTAGTGTAATAGTTATTTACCTAACAAATGCGGAAAGTGATACTTTACCGCACGCAACGGCAGTTGACCGAACGACGCGAAGCGGAGTTCGGTCAAGCCGTTAAGGGCGGTAAAGGCACTTTCCGCATGTGTTAGGTACAAAATTTTACCTATGAGCATCTACATCTCCAAAAAAGGGCATTGATAAAATTATTTATTGAATCAGATTAATGAATGAAATTAGATTAGATTTAGAAATTATCAAAAATCCATTTTCTGAAAGAAAAAAAAAAGGATTTTTGATTATAAATATCAAATTCTACTTTACCGCACACTATGCGGTAAAGTGCACTTTACCGCACACTTTGTAGTCCACTTTACCGCATACTATGCTGTAAAGTTCACTTTACCGCACACTATGCTGTAAAGTTAACTTTACCGCATAGTGTGCGGTAAAGTGCTACTTTCCATTTGCAAATACGTGCGGTAAAGTGCACTTTACCGCACGCTCGTAGGTAAAGACTATTATTGTTATTTAATTCTGTGTTGTTAAGTGTTGACATTAGCCGCTTTCCAGCTGTGTGCTTCAAGCACGGTGCAGCACAGTGTTCTGTGTTTGAAACGCAAAAGTTAGCAGATCTCGGAGCGCAGTACGGCTGGAACACAAACACGCGCTTGAAGCATTTGCGCGCGCAAAAGCTCGATTGCGTGCTCAAAATGGGCAGCTGGAAAGCGGCTTTTGTTGACAAATTTCGAAAAGCCAACATATTTTTCTTCTCTCTTTGTAATAAATCGTTGTTTGTTAAATTTGCATCAAATTGTGTCTTTATTATAAAATGAATCAAAAGCAAATCTAAAAAAAATAAGAAGCAAACTGCTCTACAAGCTGCTACAATGGGATGAGCTCATTTCATAGAAAACAGATGGCACCACAAATGGTGGTCCGATCCGTATAACGGGACTGTCCATTCTATAGGTACCCACTATAAACCTTATTCTATGTACAGTACCTAATGAGTCAGTCCGGATAAAAAAATTCGCGAATCGCGAAGAGTTTCTTTTATTTTTGCCTCGGGAGAAAACGCGTTTGATTGAATCTTTAAATAGTAACGGAAAAATGTGAAAGAAAGAACATTTAAATTCGTTCAACATTATGTGCTTGCTCTAGAGATTTTTTGAAGTAGGTAAATTAAATTAGGAAATTTTACATGTGAAAATAGACCCTGAGATAGGGCCTGTTTAGTGGAGTCATTTTTTTTTGTCTGGCATTTTGAGGGATGAATGTGACTAGTTAGTTGATGAGAATATAAGTGGTTTTAATGCCTGCCTCCTATTCGAAATGTCCACAGAATGTTTCGCCGGAAAACTCGATTTCGAACTGTGATTACCGTCTGGCGATTTTTCAGCGTCATTTTCACATCAAAACCTTCCATTCTCTCGATTGCCAGACAAAAAGTAAACGCGGAAGGTTCTTTTCTTTTCTCTTGGAAGTTGACACCCATTCCCATTTTTTCAGCTATTGAAAAGCATCTGATATTTTTTATGGGTGAATTATTTATCAATGTCAATATTTTATTTAAAAGCTAGAAAATTTGAGATCATTAAAAAAAAATTCTTCATGTAAATCAATTTTTTTCTTCTGCAAATTTTCGAACGGGAGGCCGGCATTAAAATCACCCATATTCTCATCAGCTTGGTAGCCACATTCATCCCTCAAAATGCCAGACAAAAAAAAATGACTCCACTAAAACAGCCCCTATCTCACACTCTAAAAGTTAAATGTAAGTACTCTTGTGACTAGTAAAACTTTTTGTCTTTATAAATGATGAATGACTATGAAGTGAATTAACTTCGGAAAATTATTGCATAAATATTAATAACTCGAGTGTTTTGACTATGGAACATTATTGCATAAATTTAATTGCCTTCGAGCATAATGACATTTTAATTAATTTTGCAAAGAATTAAAAGGGGAAATTATAATGCTCTTAGCAAAAACATCAAGATTGACACAGCGTCATGAAGTCCAATAATAAGTCGCATAGTAGCTCGGAAATGGGATTCCGAAACAAAAACTATACGAACAATCATTAAAAAAGCTCCATAAATTACAAGATTTTGTCGAAATGAAAAGATTTCTACTGGCAAGATTTCAATCACTAGAAGCCATCTCAGATTATCTGAAGATTTTACCAGTTAAACCCAACAAAAGTATTGATGCTAGATGCAAATATTGTGTGTAGTCATCGCATAATCGCATACAATATAATTGTACCAAGTTTCAGGCCTTATCTCTCTCTGCACGCTTGAGCGCTGTTAAGGAGAAGAAACTGTGTACTAATTGTCTCAATCATGATGACAATATAACATGCACCTCCACCGATCGATGCCGAATCTGCAATAAAGCTCACCAAACTCATTTTCACGTAGACTTCCCTCAAAATAAAAATCAACCAAAAAGATCACCTGGAGATAATCAGTCTTATCATCGTGGGAGCCGAAACAAAGAGCAAACTACAAACCACGCTAGCAGAAAAGATGAAATGGTGTTATTAGCTACAGCATTAACAAAAGTGAAAAAATCACAAGGAGACTACGCGAATTTACGAGTCCTAGTAGATTCCGGGTCCCAGTCCCGGTCGGTGCCATTCCAGGTACGTGTAGTTTATAGTTCATTGGTTCTAACAGACATTTAGGCTATAGTCCGAATATAACCAAATGTTAACCAAAGTAACCGAATCGATTGACAGATGGTTACTGAAAACTCTGGTTACTTGAGGAACACGAATATGAAATAAAAAATAATTGACAGAAATTATAGATAATAGCTATTTAACTAACAAGTGCGGAAAAATATCTTTCGCAAGTGTTAGGTACAATATTTTTCCTACAGGCGAAAAAATGTAAAATTTTTCTTTTTTTTTTTTGACATATCAGTGCGGTAAAATTTTTTCCGCACTGACAGCCGTGCGGAAAAACTTTTTCCGCACTGATATGTCAAAAAAAAAGTTTTAGCGCACCGTGCGGAAAAACTTATTTTCCGCACGCATATCAGTGCGGAAAATCGATTTTTCCGCACGGCTGTAGGAAAAACTATAAAACCAACGGAACCGACATTTGATGGCCGGTAACTATTTTGACATTTGGTTAACTAAATTTCAGGAAACCTAGGTCCAAAAGTAACCACTTTTCCAGGAACCAGAATAATTTGATTACTTTCGGACCGCGGAACCACAACCCTGGTTATATTCGGACAACAGCCTTAATTTAATTTAGCATTTAATATAATTTA